TTTCTTTCTTTATTTTACTTAAGAAAGCAGAAGAAAAGAAACAAGCTACTAATAGTATAGAATGTTCGACGTTCATTGTTGTCGACATTTTTATATGCTTTGTAGAAAAAAAAAAGAAATTGAAAGAGAGACACAGAGAGAGAAGGTTCAAAAAAAAAATAAAATCATCGTTTTTCCGATGATTGACGATTATCGAAATACAGAGAAAGGGAGAGAGAAAGAGAAAGAGAGAAAATAATTGCTTTTTTGTTTAAGTTTCCGTCTTCTTTTTAAAACTCACTCTATAAGCAACAAAAGTTCATACCTAGTCGATTTGCACCGACAGAAACATGATCTTACCTAAAGATTTTATTCTTGACGTTACCTACAGAATCAATTAAGTTCATTTCTACTAGATTTTTCTTTGCCATTGTGATAAATTAAAATATTCTCAATATAACTATAAACCTTTATATTTATTTAAGATTATCTAATAAATTAGTAAGATATTCTTCATCAATAATTATGGTCAGACGTATTGAAGGTACGATTGATTATGAGAAACATAATGAAGTGCTCAATGATAATCATAAAGTTCTTATTTATCTCGATGATATGACATTGACTGGTAAGTAAGAAAAGAAAAATCAATTTTCCGATATCTAAATAGATATGTTTTTAATATAGATATTGCTTCCCAAGATGGTTCTTATATACGAAAATTTCATACAATTGCAAAATTAATTTTAGAAAATCAAGTTCGAACATTTCCAATTACATTTTCACTGGAATATGATGAAAAAGATATAGAAAAAACATCAAATTATTCATTACGTGTACGTATTGTAGCCGATGGTAAAACACGATTTATAACGAGTTCTAGTGTTCCTGTTCTTACGAAAGGTCATGGCGATATGGTTGATATAATGGTGGAAAAAATCGATTTAATGTAATGAGGAAAAAAAATAGATGACATGCTTTTTTTTCTTCTTTTTTGAAACGTTTAAATTTTTTTTTTCTTTGTCTATGTGTTACGTAAAATAAATAATCAAATAAACATGATAATTGTGTGTGATATTCATAAAATAAAAATCTAAATAAAAAGATAATTTTATTGATTTTTCAAAATTGAATATTATATGAAAATTTACTTTTGAAAAAGAAATACTTTATTGACTAAGAGAATTGATCCATTAAAACTTAATAACTTAAAATAAATACACCAAAGTATTTTTTTTTTGAATAATTTTTCTCCGATACTCTTCTTGTTACCTAGACTATTTATCAAAACTTCACAACGATGTCAATCAAATCATATAAAAAAAACTGTTATGCAAAAAAAAAATAAATTCTATGAGTCGTTGACACTTCAGAAGATACGATCAATATTTATCGTATATTCTTCGGTGCATGAAAAGAACACAAACTATTCATATAATGACATACGAATGTTATAAGCTGTACATAACACACAAAAGAAAAATTAATTAATTTAAAATAAATTTTTTTATCAATATTCCTGGAAAATGAAAAAGAATATTATCGAATAGATTACAAGGTATTCTTTGATTATATGAAGCAAAACTTTTTAATCTGAGTTTGATAGTCACGCCGAAAATGCGAGGTACTTTTTTTTATTGATTATCTGTATTCCGCTATTAATATATCTTACATATTTCTTCGACAAACTTGATGATAATCGTATAATTATCTAAATATAATTGGTTGTTACTTTTAGAGTATGACTTGTTGAATCCGGGACCAACGCGACAGGCTCTAACGTTGACAATATGATCTAGTAATGATTTCAATTGTTTTATAGGCACAGGGTACCCTGCGTGGAAGTACGAAGGATAACTTCTTCCAATCTTGAAAAATTTTCATTTTTCTTCAGTAGAGTTTCAGTGTTTTATTGATTTTTGCTCACCAGTTCCCAAAAAAACAAAACGTGCAACCTCTTTCCCTAATCTAATCAACTGTAGCAAACATTGGCCTCTTCTCAATCCTAGCGGTCTCGGGATACTTCTGTACAGACATTTATCAAGGTAAATAAATTAATCATTCAAAAAAAAACAGTCAGCAATGATTGCATTCTCATAGAAAACAAGATTCTTCTACATAGAGAGATTGTTCCATTAACAAACGTTACATTATATATGAAAAATAAAAATACCATTGAATTATGATAATAACAATAATAAATCATTGTGTCACAACTGAAGATAACTTTTTACCATATCATTTTAATAATTAGTTAAATATGAATGCAATTTTTCGCTTTGTTTTTTATTTTAAATGTTCAACAAACGATGTATTACATATTGAATAACAATATTAGCACAAAAGAAAAAATTAATGAAACTGATTGCACTATATATTTGCTGTAATAACAACAATAGTTACGTATGTAATACTCCAAACATTACTCTAGCTGTATTATAAACAAACAATTGAACAGCACTCAATGTACCACTGATAAAAATACGCAAACCAAGTCCTTTCCATAGGCCTAGATAAGAAAATATAATTTTAATGATCGGGAAAAAATCAACTTACCAGCAAATCCAACACGTCGTATAGCATCAAATATACTAAGACCTTTTTCATTATTCAATTTTGATACAATTGTATCAGCTGGATGACTAACGATAGCACAAAATATACCAGCTATATAACCAGCTATAAATGTTACACCAAGTTCTTCAGTTTTTGTACGTTGTTCACGTGGTTTACCTATTATATATTTATTAAGTGCTTCAATTGTACGTTCAAAACATGCAAATTTCACCATTGTATATGGAATTTGTCGAAGCCATAATGGTACAAGACCTTTATAAAAGCTAAATAAAAATTATCATGCTTTTCATTAATTAGAAATAAAATATATATTTATCATACCCCCATATTCCTTCTTCGCCTAAAAAAGAAATAATAACATTAAGACAATATAGAATTAATTTTTTTTACCATAAAATTTCGGTAAACCTTGTCTTAAAGTTGATGCCCAATTATCTTGTGTTTGTATTCGTATTTTTATTGCTTCCCATGGTGCTAAAGCAATATCAGCAAACAATTCTGCTGAAGCACTTGCTAATAAATAAATTAATGTTCGATAGAGATAAGCATTTTCTTCACCAAATATTTCACCATAAAAAATTTTCAATATTTCATAAAAAGCAAATTTTCCAAAACCTTGTAATGAATAACCAATTAAAGTTGGTGCTAAACCTTTAGTTAAACCAAATATACCTTCATCTCTAAATGAATCAATATAGTTTAAATTTTCTATTGTTTATTTTTTTTTGTGTCAATTTAAACATACGCAATGGTTACTTGAAAACCACGAATGAAATTTTCATATTTTTGAGGTTTGACTTGTAATCGACATTTGATAAGATCCTATAATTATAAAAATACTTTTATAAGTTCGAAAAGTAAACCTATCGAACAATAACTTTTTTTTACCACTGAAGAATAACTATTAATAAAGATTTTTTTCTTCAGATTACATGAACACAACATACCAGTGGAACAACAGCTGCATGTGTTATAGCACCGCTTAACATACCACTAATTCCACAATAAACATAATATTTAATTGAACCATATTCACAGCTGTAATGTTCTATAGAATTAACGGTAAGTTATATTAATATATTATTATACGTACGTTTGCTTCTTGTATGACATGATAATAGAAATCGTCTATAATTACTTAGTTTAACAAAAGATCGTACTATTGTTCTCTATAATAAATACAATAACATCTATGAAAATGTTCATTCCATGTTAATAAAAATTTACCAAACATTTGTGAGGAATAATTGTTAAAAATTGTATAAATTTCAGAATAGAAATAAGATATTTATTTTCAATTAGTTTTTGCATCTTCATTGGTAATGAATACGTTCTTATTATTTGTATATTCATGTGTAAAAGTCGCATTTGGTGATGAAAATAAACTCTATGAATAAAAGTGACACAAAAAAAGAATTGTCTAAAAAATATAAAGAAAATTTTATCATATGGAATATTGTTATCTGAAGAAATATATTTTCACATAAAATAAATTTTTTCCATGATTGTTTATTTTTATTTGAATAGCACGTGTATAATTTCTTCTTTTCCTTTAAATATGCACTCAAGGTCAGACTTTGTTTTTTTTTGTTTCTTTTCATATGATCACTTTTTTTTTATATCTCATGGTTGTTACTCATCTTTCGTAGGCAAAAATAATAAAATAAAATATAATATTTTGAACAAACAATAATAAAACTATTCTGATCAAAAATCTGTTCAAAAAAGAACCTTATTTACTTGTTATTGATTATTCAGAACATTGAAAGACGGCATATGCAAACTATGTTGATATATGATGACAGAAAAAAATTAAAAAAAAAGAAACAATGCTTGATCTAAACCATTAAATGTAATAAAAGAAAACAATTTCTTGTCGTGACATTCCTTTAAAAAAATCGAATTAATTGCATGACTTCATGACTTATTGTCTAGTTTGAATATTAATGAAAATAATATGAATAGAATTAATAAAATATAACTATCTTTAATTAAACTCAGAATCCATAATTTACCTGTATCCAATGAGTTTCCTTTTTCCAACGAATTGTACTGTGTCTTACTTTGTATGTAAAAAGGTGCGTAGAATATATTCAGGTGCATCAGATTATAGGAAAATGTCTTTATTGTTTGAGACAATCGAAATATGAAGTAATTGGTAATTAAATCTTTGCATGATATAATCAAGCACAGAGAAAGTAGAAACATATTTGGCGTCACATGTTTCAACTGATTACTGTCAGATCAATTCTTCAACAAGAAAATGATTCTATAGATTATATAATTGTTCGGTGTATTGTCATAGCGTCAAACCGACCTTCCATAGAAAACCTAATTTTTCGAAAAACAAAATCAAAATTGATTATTTTGTTGTAGGATGATGAGCTGAAATCTTCTGTTGCTGCGTATATATATATACATATGGTTTTTCACAGAATAGCCAGATTTTCATAGACTTAATAGAGAAGATATATGCTCTATTTGTATGTTCTCGTGTTACTGAAGAAAAACAAAATATTTAAAAACAATCAGACTCATAAAATAATTCTATTTATTTTAATGTAAAAAATGTAGGAAGAATTAATTGATTAACATCAAGGAAGAAAGGCTAATCAAAAACAGTCTGTCTTAATACATTTTATACTAGCATGATGATTATTGAGAATACGTAAGTAAAGTTAGCCTCATATCAGAGTCTTTTGTGTCTGGATTCGTTTTTGAACTTGGTTTGACTTTCTACTTGGTTGGGTTATATGTAGAATTAAATTCTGCATATAACCCAACCAAATAGAGAGCTAAACCAAGTCTAAAAACGAATCAGGACACAAAGCTCGGAAATGGGGCTAACTTTACCTACGTATTGAGAATGAATCTCGATTGTTCACAACTGAGTGATGATAGGAATTATTCTTTATTTAGATATTGATGTGTCATATATGCTATTGAAAATCATTATACAATTTAAATATTTAATTGCAGTTCAATATCATGTGGTAGTCAATATCGTTCTAGATGTTTTCAAAGTGCAATAATTGTATGCCTGTGTTACAGTGCATATCCCTGGATTCTTTATATTCTTTATTTTCTCTTCTTTCGTTATGTGTTATATGTATTCTCTGATATCGTATGATATCATCTCTTTTCTGACCTCGATTAACCCTTGTATTCCTTTTTCTTTTGTTCACGTCACTTATATATATACCGATGTTTTTCTATAAATAAACGAGCCGGTATAAACCGAAACATCGCTCCGCATACATCACTCTAACAGCCTGGATGAAATGTTACTTAGCTAACAATTATTATATATATATGCATAGGTTTCATTCTTTTTTTTCTCTTCTTAATCGTTTAAACATAGTCTATTTTGAACTATTATCTTAAAAAAAAGATTAATAATGTCGGCATCAAAAAAAGAAAAAGAACCAATTCATGATGTTGATTTGGGCAATTATGGTATATCAAAGAATCGTTTAGCAACGACGGGTGTAAACTCATGTATTGGCTTTATCGTCTTTTTAAATAATGGTGAAGATATTTTTATCGAACATCTAAGCGATATTAGTCTTCCAAGGAAAATGAATCTTGACAATGTTCGTGAATGTTTTGAAGACATCAGTGAACATATTAATGACGCATTGCCATATGAAAAGGGTGTGTGTGCAGGTGTGGGTGTGGGTGTGGATCTGGCTAAGATGATATAACTAACGCCTACCCCCACCTCCCTCCACATCCACACCCACCCTATCTCAGATACAAGCAAAGTGAATGGCGGCTAACTTTTGCTGCTTTCATCGTTTCAGTTATCTCGAATGTTTCCCTTTCCGAGCGGATTTCTCGAAGAACATGGAACACCCTGTTCAAGATTGGAAAACGAAATACATAGATTCGATTACGAAATGTCATCCTCATGTTTGAATTCGTATTTTCTGACTTTTCTTTTTCGAGGTCATCGCTAATGAAAATGATGTCTGTGGAAGCGAACGTCTAGGAAATAAAAAAGAAGAAAAACTCGAAAAGGTCAACATAAATACGATGCGAAGCAATCTCAAGTTTTGGCAATAGGTTTGAATTAACATAAAAGCGATAAATGACTTCACCTGAAGTCGATTTTGTACTGTGAAATGTTTCTATTATCGCTTCGGCTCGTAACAGTTGATGGCTTAGCGGACTGGAGATTATCTCGGATGAAAGATGGAGGCCAAATCGTCAAAATGGCCTTTTTGTGGGACTTAAAGAATAGATAAACGAAAACTCAAATTGAAAATTCAAAACGTTTGTATCATGTTGAGAGATTGATCTTTCGGACAAAGTTTCAACGAGATTTTCAATTATTATTTTAAATGAATGCATAACAATCGGTTGAAATTCTTTTGCAATGTTAATATTAAAAGGAAAATAGACAAAATATATTATTATATAATTATACAACTAATTCTAAAGATATATATCCCTGTTTATAAAATTCGTAAATTTTTTATTCTTCAATAATAGAATATACTTTTAACAAATAAAACAACATCCACCAAACGAATAAATATTGGTATCGATATATTTATTAAACAAGTCCAAATATAGATTTCATTAATGAATGAAATTGATCACAGTCTGAACTTTGCCTTACAGAATTCGTCATTGTTACCATTAATAACTGATAACGTAAAATTTGCATAACTATTATTTCCATTGCTTTTACTGCTTCTTTTTCGACAAATAAATAATTTAAATAACGCCATAGAATAGTCGTATAAAAATTTTGAAACTCAAGTAGGATTCTCTTATTTTTATATTCATAAAATTGATTCATATTCCATGATGCAGATAAATTAACACTAAAGATAAAAACAATTAATGTAAGTTTTAATAATAATGGATAATTCATAAAACGATAAAAATATCGATGTGTTCGAGTCATTTCATAATGAAAAACTTCATTTATCCATTTAGACATATGTTTACCAATGTCTGAACGATCTTGAAAATTACGCATTATCATATAATGTAGATGTATAATATTATTAAAATTAGATTTGATCAATATGATTTGATCATTTATATCTAATTGTTTAAATTCAGGTATACTTTTAAAAAAATATATTAATGATTCGTGCATAATACTTTCGTTATTCATAAACTGCAAAAGAGAAGACGATGATGTAAATTGATTGGTGTAAGAGTAATCAATTTTAGCTGCTACCAATTGATAAGCATTATTTATATTATTTAATAATATTCGATCGTTGTCATGTAGAATATAATTAGAACCAAACAAACTGATTTGATAAATCTAGAATAGGAAGATACATGAATAGTATTCGATTATTTGTATTGTATTTACTGGATTATCAACAAGTTCTTGGCTTGTTGGCTTTATCATCAAACGTCGTTTCTTTCGTAGAGCTGTTGGAAGAGTAATAAGAGATTGCTGATCATTTAGTAGACTATTTGTTTTCTTTTGTTCTCTTGCTAATTTTACTAATTGTCTTAATTGTTTTTCTTCTTCAGTACGAATCCAATCTTTTCGCATTTTAATATCAAAACATTTTTTTAATCGGCAATATGCACATTGACGACGTGTGGAAGTAGTAATAATACAAGAACCAGAAGTTCGACATCTGAGCTGAGACTGAAAAACAAAGAATTATCATTGATATTTCAGTTCATTGTAACTTGGAAAATTTTGGATAGAACTTACAGATTATTGGAACAATTAGTATGATAGATGTAGGGTTTTTTTCCATCTATTGATATTCAACTCCGATACTTTGTTTCTACCAGAATTGACCATAGGACAGGAGAGAAAAAGTTGTCCTACGTCCAGCTCTGGTTCTACCTCAAGCAGACTTTGAAAACTATACGATAGGTGCGACGAGCAGTAAAAAAATTGAAAAGTATATATTTTTTTTCTTCGTTCTCGTACGATTGTGAACCTTTCAGAAGCCATCGGATTCCGAGCACTCGAAAACTGGATTCTATTGACTACTCATTTTCCACTTCTTGAACATTTTTAGACATCTTCAAACTCATTGAAATTTCGACTCCTGATGCTAAAGAAACATATCAGAAGGATACTTTCGAGAGCTCTAATAAAAACAATACATGTCATCAGTTTTGCATCAAAATCTGAAGACATTCTTGCTACTCAAAAGAATCAATTTCAATATGCCACAGCATTTTGTGTCAGATGGCAGCGTCTTTAATAAATAATCAAACTCGAAAACTAAGCAAAAACGGTCGATGTAGCTGCTATGGACAGCATGAGCCTGTTCACGTTCCAGAGGATGCGGGATATTGACTAAAATCCATCATGTTTCTGGGTGTCTAAAAACTATTCATGCACTGAGATAGAAAAACAAAACAAGTACAAGAGTGATGATTAACCAAACCGTTCATCGGCAATTTTCCAGCGATTTGCATGACATGGATTAACATCAACTAATGGAAACTAAGACCAAAACCCGTCTGTGCTCTTAACGAATACATAGTCATAATGAATTGTCAAATTTTGAAAATCTTTCTAAATATTCATTTGATGTATTATCACACAAATCAATTCATCATCAAATATTAAAAAAATAAACACAACTATCAAAGTATTGTCTTTTTATGAATTAAAGAAATAACTTTCAGAGAAGAATAATAAGTTTAAACGTTCAACGAAAATAAATCATAAGTACTCATGTTCGAATTTCTTCCTTCGTATATATTGATAGGTTTTCACGATTCGAGAATAAAACATCTGTCGGATAACACACTTTATTTTGATTGAGTTTCGATCCCCTTAGAAACAATCATTCGTGTGATCAAAATGATCTAATGCTGAGACGCCAATCTATGGAAAGTAAGAAATCAAGGGCATTGATATAGAATTTCGATGGTCAACGGAAGCTAAGAACTGTGCCCAACCACCGGATATCAATTGAACTCATAATTTGTTCATATGCAGAGCTCGATGAGACTAACTAGTAGAAGTTCAAAAAGATTCTCCTCATACCTTGTCGTTTCGGATTGATGACCGTTTTTGTTCGATATTAAGCCTCAAACAAGCTACATAGTCAAATATTGAGTGGCATAGACTTAATCTAAGATACTTCCCATGAGTAGGTCTCACTTTTATTAGATTTCCTCATAAAATGGACCAATATCTTCTTGCTTCTTAACTATACTTTTTCATTTCTTCATTAATTCTTAATACCCTCTAATGAATGTTCTAAGTTCCGATCATTCTCATGTATCTAATTACATATATACTTTTTGATACGAAATCATTAATTAACTCAGCCTTCGAACGATTCAAAAACTTCTATAATCAAGTATTTGGAATAGAGTCTTCAAAAGTTTGTGAGTTCTATCTTAGTTATTCAATAGTTATTACCATATCCCGAAATGCATTTCGACGAAAAAATGCTTTACATGATTCACAAGTAATTTGATCAAAGTTATAGCCAAGTGCTGGAGCACCACAAACACGGCAGTCGAGATTTGGCAGTTGACATTCTTCTGTTGAATTATTGTTTGATAGTGTTTCTAGTTCATATTGATCAGTCTAACAAAAAGAACGACTAATTTTAGATATAAAAATACCGAATATAGATTTAAATCTTCTACCTTCAACGATGAAGTTGTCTTATCTTCAATTGTATCATCATGTAACATAAGAGATAGATCATATTCATTTTGAGGATTAAAATCATCAAATAATGGAAATAAATCATCAGAATCAAATGATGACATATGATTCCAATATTGATTACTCGATATTATGATCGTTGTTATCAATATCTAAAATAGTAATATTTTACTTAATATTCACAAAAAAGAAAAATGTAGTTTCTCTAGAAAAATTATATTTGAATCTTTCAATAAGTTTTATATCGTTGTATTTATTATGTAAATATTTTTTTGTCTTATTTTACTATTGGGTTTGATCCGAAAATGTTTCAAAAAAAAGAAATCGATGCAGTTCTACTTCGAGAAAAAAAAACAAACTGAAGCATTTGAATTTACGAATAAGTCCACCTTGATTTTGTTTTGCTTCGTTCTATCTCTATGTGACTACTAGATAGAATACTACACTCATCGTCCTTTTTTTGTTTCTGCCGACTAGCGACTTTTAAGAGGATCATGTATGAAAGAAAAAAGCAATATATGTATATTTTTCTATTCTTCAACGCACATGAGTCGCTTGTTTTCGAGGAAAGAATGTAGCTCAGTTTTTTTGTTTGGTCGGTAATAATATAAATGGGTGATTCATCAAAGAACAAGAGATATAACTAAGAAAGCAAACCTTAAAAAATGTGGTGAACGATTACTAACATCATCATAGAAAATGTCATATGCAATAAATCATCAAGAATATATTGTCTGATTGGTATTCAACATTCGTATAATGACGTGATTAGTCATCGAAAAAAAAGTGAAATGAAGATAATTCAGCACGAGATTAGTAAAAACACAATGGTAGAAATCGATTTAATTTAATATTTTGTGGCATTTTGTAGAGTGTTATACACGATGTACATCCTTCACTCATGTTGATTATATATATATATATAACTAAGTTTTCTTAGTTTTGTGAAGATGAATTCAGTTTTAGTAAATAAAACTAACCACGAAGTATATATAAGGAGAAGAACAGTGTAAATAAAACACACAGAAAAAGAAAAGCATAGGTATATACATATACAAATATGATACGTAAAGGAAACGAATAAATTTATACGTAATGTGGGAGAACGTGGAAGGAAAAACACCACTGTAATAGGTTTGAATATATTGGACAAATTTCGGACACTATAAAACATTGATTCAAACTGAAAACGAATGAGTATTTAGCCTTATGATTTTTAGTTGATGAGTGAATCTTCTGTAGGACCATAATTATGAAGTAAAATCATAGTTTTGAGTTTTGATTGCACTTTTTGCATAGACATGGAGATTCATTAAACTTGCTCATACGAAAAAATTCTGAAGTTTCGAACATTACATCTTCGACATATGAAGGTTTGAAAACAGAGGTACTTTTGCATGAAACATGGATTTTGAAAAAATAATTATCTCGAAGATGTGACGTCCGAATCGATTGAAGTCTATGTTTATGGAAAGATTTGGGCCGAAACTCGATATATGTACTAAATAGCAACTTGCACCCATATCCTATGATTTCTTCAAACAATGAAATATGTTTTTATGATGACAAAAAAGTATGTATTTGTTTTTATATAGAATACCATATGAGTATATTATAGAAATATGACAGCATGGTTTTATCACTCATGTATGATCGTTTGAACGAGTACGAGTATTTTCTTACAAAAAAGTAAACAAAAGGAATTCTTATGGAATATAGTGTCCAAAACTCCTTTGCAATCAAAATTTGTGTAATGATAATTTGAAATCTTTCTTATTGGACTTTGTGAACATATGAATTGTGTTATTTTTTCATTTGTAGAAAAAACAACAAAATGTAGATCATAGGCAAGTACACCAAGTTTTTTGTTTTGCTGATCTTATACACTACAAAGTCCTGTTCCAGCAGAATTGTCGTAGTCTAATTAAATGCATGAAAAGATAAGTACAAGACGGATTTTTCACAAACAATATGGTTTTTTATTTGGCATATTGTGTTTTTCAAAGATTTTCGATAATTTCCATCATCTTCTGTTTGAAAAAGTATGCTTTTTTCGTAAGAAGCAGCAAATCTTTTTATTGTTTCTCTGCTGATGTTTTTTTTGATTGCACATTTCACAATTATTCGAAGGAGCCTCATGGTAGTCAATTATTCTTTTTTTTGGTTGTTTGCATTAAAACTTTTTTTATTATAAAAAAAGAGCATCACAATAAGTAGATGATCATTTTTTGAATGTCTCAAGATACTCAACTTGTTCTCATCTTTTTCTGGATGAAAAGTAACAACTAAAAGATAATGGGATTCTATCAAATAGTGCAGTCTGAGATGGTTTTTCACATAAAAATTATATCTTTCTGATATGTTAAAACCTTGAAAAGTTAGAATGATTCGCTTTTCATCAGACTACAGTCTATAGTTTCTAGTGAACTAGTAAAAATTTCAAATCAATACATTAGTACGTTTTATTTTTATTCATGATACAATCAAAGTATATCTTTTTTTCAACCTGCAAAAATTATCGAATCGCTTTTTTTGTCACACTGTTGTGACCGCATTCTGAGTTGAAATTTTTTAATGATACATGACTCAATAGAAAAAGTACTTTTTTTCTTTGATTTTCTTTCAATACAAGTTTAATAACAATGTCTAGTTGACTTATACAAAAAATTATCAACGACAAGGCAACAAAAAACAATTTTTTCCATATAATGTTTATTTTTGATAAATTGTGCTGATCATCGTAAAATGTTTCTTCTTCAAAAGGTTTTTGCATTATGTTGAAATTAGCATTTATTCTGTCGCTATCATTTCGAAGATTGACGTTTCGATCGATCAGATGATCGAACCTTGAAAGAGTTTGTAAAGTAGCAATTGTCAAACTCATTACTTAGAGAACTCTCTTAACAATTATCAGCATGTTTCTAATCAATGCTATTCATTGATCGCTTCATTCTCTTTCTAATTCATTATCTATCATCAGCTATATTCCGGCAAACTTCGCCTTTTAGATGACTTTCTCTAAGAAAATGAAACGTCCCGTTGAAAATTGGAACACGAATTGTATAGATTTGATCATGAAAATTCATCCACTCGTTTGAATTAGTATTTTTGACTTCATTTGTGAGGTTACTGCGATTGAGAATGATAACTGTAGATGCATACATCTAGTAAATAAAAAGAAAAAAAAAGAAAATTCGCCAAAATCAACATCAATACAATGCGAAGCGGTCTCAAATGTCGTGAACGTGTTTTGAATTAACATATAAACGATAAACAATTTCACTTAGAGTCGATATTATTGTGTGAAATGTTTTTATTATCGCTCCTGCTCATAACAGCTGACGACTTACGAGGAAACCTCTTCAGGTGACCCCTCGGATTTTAATAAATTTTTGTCTATAGTTACTATATAGTGCCCTAGTAACAGTGTGAGTGAGGAAATAACGCTTATACACCAACATCCTGATCAGAACTATTGATCAGCTATAATTATAAGTTGATATCGAAGTGACTTGATAAATTAAATTAATCGTATTTTGATGCATATTCACTAAATAGAAATATTCTAATTCACGTTTTTCCATAGAAATAGCCATCGATATCAATAAAACTGATTTTATATGCAAAAGCAAATACCTCTATGATTAATTTTTTGACAAGAAAAGCATGTAAAATCTCGAAAAAATCTAAATCGGCCGGTAAGAAGTCCTTGACCGACCATTTACCGTAACCGGTTGCAACATTGATGTGAGATAGACGTCAGTGTGGGCAGGTATAACTGTTTGGGATTGAGCGAAAGAAAGATTCAGAATTGCACTCACCCTGGACCAAAGTTGTAGCCGATCAAGAAATACATGAGCGATCTGGTTCGGCTCGTCTAAAAAATATTTCCAGACCAGTAACAACCAGCGAGTTCACAAAATTTTTTTATATGATACGACTGATATTAGGGGCAAAAATTCGTTTTGAATACCTACAAATTTTTATGCTTGTCTTTTCTGGAATACTTCTATTGTAATGAGTCCAATTCTAAATTCGTTTATAAGGCTCCCGATAACAAAAAAGGGACCAAACTAGAGTTGTAACCGGTTAAAAATTTTTGAACTGGTTCGGTCCAACCGATTCAAAAAACCTTTTAGATCTGTGGAAATCGGCAAAAAGTGACTGATGTGTTTGGTCATTATTAATTGATCAATGGAAATGGCTTCAAGAGACATTCATTTTTCTTTTGTCGCTCAAGAAAGAAATCTCATATTCTAGTCGTTTATATCTGTTTGATTCCTCAGAGATGAATATGTAAGATATCAATGTTAGAGCGCGAAAAACAGTAATGTATCCATCAACTGATGGCTACATTCCAGATTTTGAATTTTTTCACTCTACTTTTACAGACAAATCTAATGTTTCTCTTCAAACGACGATTCAAACCTAAATTTGATCTTCAACAAAACATTTATCAAATAAGTTTAACTCAAATAACGCAATTTTGATTGTACTTTTTAAAAAAACAGAAGAAAATAAAATGTATATTTTTTTAAACAGCACTTATTGATTATGTTGATAAGAGTACGTAAACTTGCTCTCAATAAGTTTTATCAGAAAAAATGCGTATCCGTAAAATATATTGCAATCAGGAAAAATCGATTTGATTATAACTCTGTTGTATACTGGTCTGCATCTATAAAATACGAGCGTAAACGATTCGTATATCTTTATTACTATGTCAATATTTATATTCTCTATCGTATGCTTGTTCATCATGATATTATTTAATTCGGATCTAAAATAAATACTGATACGTGTCATGAGATTTTGTCATTAAAATGATTCTTAGTTGCAATAACTGTTTTCAACATGTAACCATGTTTGTCTTATATTCGTTCCTACAAATGACATATTTTATTTATTATCATTGCACACGTCATAAATGACAAGACGTGTATTTGTGACACAAACATAATGAAATTTCTATGTCAATATTGATAAAAACTGAATTTCACATGAATAGATATGACTTCACTGGCTCAATGAAAATAAAGAACAAATTTCATTCTCAAGTATCAGATCTAAGAAAACGAAACTAATTCATATGTCTATTTTATTTATAAAAGAATAAGTTTGATTTACGAAAAATCAAAACATGAAATAAAAGTCTATCGTATGCTATTTCATCATGATGAAGAGTATCAAAACAACTATGAAAACAAAGTAAGTATTGTTAATGAATTTTATCTGTCCATTTTTAGGTGTTGTTGTTATTTCTCCATCTGCTCCGTTGCAAAGATTAGTATTACAGCAACAAAAATAAATTGAATCACCAGTAGAGTCTGTACGCCATTCACATTTATCTTCTTTACATTGATCAGATAGTGCCCAATTTCGAGCATATATAGACTCGCTAGTTTGATTATCTTTACTAAATGTCTGTATAGAAGAACACATTTATTATAAAAAAATTACATTAAATTTTATACGAAATATTTACAAGACACCAACCACTTGTCGCTATTACTTGTAGAACATTGTTTGGATTCCATGGCTTTGGGCATGCTTCTTTATAACAACTATAACATTTTATGGTAGAACTGCGTATTAGTAGAGCAGCTTCAAATATCAAAGAGAAAGTTTGTGTATGAATATTATTAATATTACTGGAACTTACAAGCACAAAGGATGACGAGAATAAAGGTGAGACGACACAAACGAAACATTTCACTATGTCATAATGAAGCAATCACTCAATTTTTTTTAAAATAAAATTTGGCTTACCTTTGTCAAACAACGTCTACTGAGAAATGCATGTAAATACAAAAAACAACACATTTATAGCAATCATTATCAGTATTTGCTATCAAAGTAAAATAGTGGACGCATCTGATTATACTAAACACCAACTATTATGTGAAAGAATGTAATGTCACGTTTCATGATGCAATTAAGCAAAATATTTTGTTTTTCTGTTAATCACGAAGAATGATGGTGTGGGTATGCATGTAGATGTGGGTCAGGGAGCAGATGACACCCACACCCACATCCACAACCAACAAGAAACAACTTATGGAAGAAAAACATGAAAAAAAATTATATAAATTAATAAAACAAAGAAATACATGAACAAGAAATAACAAGATGAGAATAAATCCCGATACAGCAAACGTCATAAATAATTCTAAAATAAAATTAACAAAAACACAATTATAAGTACTTGCAAGTGGATTGAAATTTGTACCAATACCTACATCAATAAACGTAATAGATATGATAGCCAGCACAAAAAGATCATTAAAAACAATATCAACTATAATAAAACAAGCCACAGTTACAGAAATATCAATATTTATCAATAAATAGAAAAGATCAAAAGTTGATAACATGAATAACAAAGAACGTAATGCGATGAAAAATTTACAGAAAATCAAAGATATAGTTATATTACCAGCAGATGAAGGTGGAAAGGTGCCAGTAATGGACAGAATCGAATATATTAATAAAATCGGAGAAAAATTAAATGACAAGTCATTGTATGAAAAAGTAGAAAACCCAACACATAACATAAAGAAGAAAATTTCTAAATTGATAAACAGATTACTAAAGTTCAATCGAATAAAAGAAAGTTTAGAACATGAATTAATGTCAACTGATAACATCCCAATAATAAGAGATCAACCTAAATTACCTAAACAAAATCATTCGATTAGAATTGTAAGCTGTACAAGAGATACTATTACCTCAACGTTATCCAAATTAACATTTTCATACATAAAACAATTGATTATACCATATGTAATACATCAAAATTTATCGATGAAATAACTAAAACCAAATTAGATAAAGAAGATAAATTTATAAGTCTGGATATCGAAGATCTATTTACAAATGTACCAGTGTCACAAGCAATAGATATTGTAATGGACAGAATTAGCCCTTCAGAAAAATTCTGTGAATCTAATCTCATCGAAATAGACCTAAGACAAATACTCACAATACCACTGAACAATAGCTATTTTTAATTCAATCGGAAATTCTATCGACAAAAAATATGGTCTACCAATGAGACATACTCTCTTATAGATATTTGCAGACCTCTACATGCATGATTACATAGAAAAATGTATGGAAAATCTGAATGAACCTAACAAAATTTAGAGATACATATGTAATATTTTCATTATAACAAAAATGAAAGAAATAGAAAATTATGTGAAAGATTTGAACAAAATAAAAAGCAAAATTAAATTTACTTACAAACATGAAAAAGATGGAAAAATAAATTTTCTGGACACAACTTTATCAATGAATAATGATGATAACATTGGTATTCAGTGGTTCAGGAAAGAAACAGCATATGATGAAGAATATAGCGTTAAAAATTATTGAAACTACAAAAAACCAAAAGGAACCAAAACAAGATTTAGGTAAATTAAGAACAATACCTACAAAAGCAAATTATCCGATACACATATTTTGACAAACATATGAAAAATACAGTAAAAGCTACATATTCAACAACGAAAAAACAAACGAACCATCAAAAACCAGAATTAAAATATTGCATTACATTACCATATGTAAATAGAATGGCAATCTTAAAAAGGAAATTAGCTGAAATAAATATTAATGGATTTTTCTCTTACCCGAGCAAGTTACAATCAAAATACAAATATAAATAAACCAAACTCTAGATCAAATATATATCAAATAAAATGTATCTGTGGAGCTGTTTATAATGGAGAAAGTAAATTTAGACTAGAAAAACGTATGAAACAACATATAAGAACAATTGAACAAGATGACGAAACAACAAAATCAAAAATGGTTGCACACTATCGTAAAAATAGATGCAAATGTATGTTTAAACCAACTAAAGCATTCATCATTGATAATGAAATCATCCGAAAAAAAAAAGAGTTGAGATAAGCTACATATAAGAATGTATGTATGAAGCTTATCCTGGATAGTTTGAACCAATCAGCTTGTATTCCATATTCAACTCTTTTTTGTCTAGCTTTTAATAATAATGTCAAAATGCGGATGGTGTGATATGCATACATATTCGAGTTAAAAAATAAATCGTTTGAAAAAAACAATCAAATTCTTGAATTAGAAAAAAAAGCTAGTGACGAACAACTTCCGATTTGATATAACGTAAAAACTAAGAGATTAAAAACCTTTCATTCCAAAATCGATTGATCCCTTATTTTAAACAATATTTTAACAAATATTTTTTTCAGTACTATAAAGTATTAATTTAACATACATGTAAATATAATTCAAATTTAACTCTAAACAGAGATTCAATTCGTATTTTCATATTGTAGCTTCTTCATTCTATCTATGGCAAAATTTTTCATATTCTTATTCATATTTATGGAATATGATACATCATTGTTTAGATCAAGCCGTTGTAATCATATAGGGTAGATTGAAAAGGAATAATTGAGCTATAATCATCATCTTTTTTATTTTTATCGTTTATTTGTACTTGTACTCGTGATACTCTAACTGTTTTTTTTTTCTATTTTGATCATTAAAGATCATATATTAAAACAAATTGTGAACAGTAATAAATCTAATTTAAACATAACGATTAGTCAGAAATAATTATTTTTCAATACTTCATGATATACTAAATGAAGACTTACAAATAAACTAGATATAAATATAGATTTATTTCATTTAACCACGTTAAGTTCTCTATTTAACAACGAAGAAGTCAAAGCAATCTTGTATTCTCTTGAAATTTCAATGAACTGAAAGATGAAGAAATTCACTTGAGACTCTAATAGAATGCTTGATCGACAGCTGAGGACAACTATTGATAATTCGAAAACATAGAACGTAAAATGGTATAATGTGGACTACTGGATTTGGATTTTGCTCACTTTGCACGACCTGTTCTGTTTTTTTTTGTGTCTTTATCTCACTAATTTGATGTTCATTCTCTGTTTATTAACAGCCTTTATATGGGGTATAACGAATTGGTTTTTAAAACAGGGTTCGACAGGTTTACAAAAAATTAAATATGACAATCGAGTAAAACAATTTGGTGCTGAAATCTGGTATTTTCTCACCAATGCACAAGTAATACAAAATATTGGTTATAAATAAAAATTATTTACTGATTTTATGTAGTATTGGATTCCATTTTTATTAAATCAATGTGGTTCTGTACTTTATTATTATAGTCTTTCAAAAACTGGTGAGAATATTTTCTTATAATTTGTTGCTTTTGATTTATTTTTCTATTAGATTTTTCGACCGCCGTACCTGTAACCAATGCTTTGACACTTTTGATAACATATTTATGTGATGTTATTTCACGTCCACAATTATTAAATTCAAGTAAGAGTTTTATTTTTTTTTTTAAATATATCAAATAATGGTTTTTAGGATTTTTAATTGGTATGTTATGTGTCACAAGTGGAGTGGCTCTTTGTGTTATATCCAAACCTCATTAAATGTTTTCATTTTGTCATATGTGATATATGTATAAATATGATAGATTTGTCTTTTTTATACATGTTTCAAACAATTATCATGATTTATAAAACAAATACTTTATTATTTTCTAGATCACAAAATGTTCACTAACATTAGTAATCGAACATTTTCTATTATTCGTCATTGTTTAAAACCTTCATTTCCTATGCGAATTCAAAATGCATCGACAAGTGAGAAATAAGTTTTTTGTTTAGAAGGCTGTCTTAAAATTATTATTATTATTATTATTATAGAAATACGATTTAATTATGAAGATGCATTTGATCTTGAGTCTCAATTAAAAGATGATGAACGAATGATACGTGATCAATTTCGTGATTATTGTCAAGAGAAATTAATGCCAAGAATAATTGAAGCAAATAGAAAAGAAAGTAAGTCAATTTTATTCTTATTCTAAATTAGATTGTTTGTTTTAGTTTTTGATAAGGAAATTATGCGTGAATTAGGTGACCTGGGTGTTCTTGGTCCAACTATTCAAGGTTTGTACTTAGTTTATTATTATTTTTTTTTGAAATATAAAAATTTAGGTTATGGTTGTGCTGGTATTTCATATGTTGCATATGGGCTATTAGCTAGAGAAGTTGAACGGTATGGAAAAAAAGCGACGAAGAAACAGCAGAGACTTCAATCTTGAAGTTTTAAGAAGAAAAATCATTTGTATAGTGATAAAATTCAATTTTCGAACCAATATCGATTATAAACAATAGAGCTGAATAAAAGCTACTAAATAGAATTGATTTCATTTTGAAAACATTCCATCGTAAATGGAGACAAAAAAAGAAATGTATTAAAAAATAAACTCTGTTTCGGAACAAAAGTATTCTAGGTATTTTTTTTGTAACAATTGAATAATTCAATAACGAAACCGTATAATGATCTAAAATTTTCACACTACATTTCTAGGTGTTCAAAGCCTAAGGGAACCTCCTCTTTCCAGGGTTTGTGGAGAATGATTCATTAGAAAAATTTGAAATTTTCAAGATAGATAGATAGATCTCAATGAGTAGAGCAAAAGTTGTCTCAGACTCAAAATCCCCAAAATGCTTTCTTCTAGGAGATATCAGAGTCGCAAAGGCTAAAAATACCCTTCTAATTGTCCTACTTTCTCAGTTGAAACACGACCCGTAGAGCTAATGATTATATATGAGACTCTATGTGGATTGCCTATTTTGTTCATTTTATTTTTATTTCCTTCTATCTGAATGAACAGAAAAATACAAAGCATGCTTCCAAAAAATCAACAGTACAATATTTTTCGTACCAAAAAAAAGTAGGCATCCCGAACAGTTTCTAATACCTATAAAAAAAGTTTCAACTCCATTGATTATACTATGCCGAAATGATAGGGGTGATTCTGCAGGTTTTTTGTGCAAAAACGAATAACAAATCTTCCTGTATGTATTAAAACCTTTTTCTTCAACTAAATTGATCGAAAACTATTCACGTTCAGTCGTGTTCGGTTTTATGATCCATCCTGTATGCTGATGTCTGCTGTTTCTTCGTCGGAAAAAAAGAGTCTTTAACGTAAAATGACATGTTTTCTTTTATTGATAGTGTCGATAGTGGTTATCGTTCAGCATTTAGTGTTCAATCATCACTTGTTATGTTTCCGATCAATGAATTTGGAACAGAAGAACAAAAAGAAAAATATTTACCAAAATTAGCTACTGCTGAATTAATCGGTTGTTTTGGTCTTACGGAACCAAATCATGGTTCTGATCCTGGTTCTATGGAAACACAAGCACGTTGGGATGAAAATAAACAGGTTTATATATTAAATGGGACAAAATCATGGTTTGTATATGAATCAAAAATAAACAAAATTTAATGAATAAGCTTTTTTTTTGAAGGATTACTAATTCTCCTATTGCTGATATTGCTGTTGTATGGGCAAAATGTGACGATAAAGAAATTCGAGGATTTATTTTAGAAAGATCTATGAAAGGTTTTACAACACCAAAAATTGAAGGCAAATTTTCATTACGTGCTTCAATTACTGGACAAATTTCTATGGACGATGTTCACGTACCAAAAGAAAATTTATTACCAAAAGTTAAAGGTTTAAAAGTATGTATTCAGTTGAATAGTTACGAAAATTTTCTAAGTATTTTTGTTTTCTGCTAGGGTCCATTCAGTTGTTTGAATAATGCACGATATGGTATCGCATGGGGAGCATTAGGTGCTGCGGAATTTTGTCTTCATACTGCTCGTCAGTATACTCTCGAACGGTAAGTATTATAAATTAATGGGTAACACATAATAAACAAAAGAAAATCTTTTCCTCATGTTTGGACATTTCCTCATACATTTGATATTTCGATAGAACTAATTGTCTTTTTCTTGCCAGCGAAAAGTTTAAAAGATGAATACCTACTCAATCGTCTAACTGAGATGTCCGATTTTTTGTAGGCATCTATCGATTAATGTAATGCTTTGTTCATCAGGATCGATTTTAAACATTATTCAGAAGAAAAAGGCTAGTGGTATTTTGAAATGCATCCTAGAAAATTATGTTTATGAAAGTGAGATTTAGTCAAAGACACGTTTATTCTCATGTTGTCGAGTGTAGAATTAAATTCTTAACGTAATGATATGATTGTTAAATTGAAGAATAGAAACATTTGGAAAAGAACAATGATATAATCCTACTAGAACAGAGTTGTTTTTTTACTTGAAATTTTTTTTTTCTTGCATACATTTCTTCTAAAATCTTGAAACATGCAGATGATTGAGTAGATGTTCATCTTTTAAATTTTCCGCTGACAAAAAGAAATAGTTATCTCTATCGAAGTCTCTAATACATTGAGAAGCGTCTTTAAAAAAATAGGAAAACATTCTATTCTGTTTATTATGCGCCATTCATTATATATATAAGATTTTATATTAAATAGAAAACAATTTGGTCGACCATTAGCACAAACTCAATTGATTCAAAAAAAATTTGCTGATATGTTAACTGAAATTTCAATTGGCCTTCAAGCATGTTATCGTGTTGGTCAATTAAAAGATGACAATCGGTATGAATAAAACTATGAATATTATTTATTTGAACTTTTTTTTTTTTGTTCTAGAGCAACACCTGAAATGATATCATTAATAAAACGAAATTCATGTGGTAAATCACTTGATATAGCACGTCAATGTCGAGATGTTCTTGGTGGTAATGGAATCTCAGATGAATATCATATTATTCGACATGTTATGAACTTGGAAGCTGTTAATACGTATGAAGGAACACATGATATTCATGCATTGATACTTGGTCGAGCTATAACTGGTTTACCAGCTTTCACTTGATCAACCTGAAAACCAACTATGTGAAATAGAGCGCCTGTACGTGTCTGTGTAGGTGTAGAAAGAGAAAAAGTAATAGATAACGTTTGAGATTTGTTTTTTTTCCTTTTTTTCAAGTAAATATTTTATTTTGTTAATGCATCAATCTACCTATTTTAAATGCATAAATAAAATACGATTGAGAGAAGATTTAATGATGTGTGAAATAGATGCCAAGCTGTTGTGTTTAATATAGTACCATAGTATTAATAGTAATAAAACTAGCTTCATCGAAGCAAACATTGCCTTTTTTTTTTCTTGTGCTTATCGAATTTATTATATACATTTGTACGTGCATATTACATTTGTCTATATATTGATATTGAACAGTGTTCATACATAATGGATTTATCGGTTGTACCAATTTCTTATTGGAGCTATTGGGCAAATGTAATTTATATTCTCGGTATGTTTGGATATTTAACAATTGATACAATTAATTATATATTCAAATCATTTAATGAATCTCTTTCTTGTTTTATCTATGTTTTTCTTGCTATTCTATTTGTAATTGATGCTACTTTATATATCATTGATTGGTATATGTATGCTGTAAAATTACGTCAAAATAAAGATGAAGCAATACAATATGAAGCTGAATTAGTTGCCTGTCTTTTACAAAATCTTGGTAGTTATTTTTATTTAATTAGTGCTTTATTAGCTTTTAATAAAAGTCAATTTACGAAAATAATTTTATTATTTAATCTTATTGGTATTAATGCTTTTTTAATTGAATCTGGTTTTATATTTCTTGGATGGCGTATTTCATTTCGAAGAAAACCTTCAACTAATCCAAAACGTGGTTGTGTTCCACAAGTAAGAAATAAATTGATTAATAAAATAATATATATTCTTGTTGCTTATATTTAGGATGTTTATATGTGGGCATTTATAATATATACTCTTGCTAGTTTGATTTATTTATGTGCAACAACATTAGCCTATCGTCTTTATATGAATTTAAACATTGTCAATTCAAATGGTGTACTTATATTACAAATGTTAGGTGATCTTGTCTATTTATTTGATGCTTATCTTTATTATGAATGTTGGCAACGTGATAAAGAAGACCATGATAGAGATACAGAACGGCAAAGATTAATTGCACTTAACTTAGTAAAACAATCAACAATAGAAAATTTTAATCCTGATAAAAAAACTGATGATAATAAATAAAAACCTATTATTAAAAGTTCGATTTTATCGCTATCGCCATATTAACTTTTGTTATTACTTAATACGAGTATTTACCTAACTATAATCTGCCATTTGAATTCATAGTAAACTCTCAAACAAGTGTCCGTAATATTATAGAAAGCTTTAAAAAATTCGTGCCCATTCCGATAAATTGTCATTTGTCACAAAAATCGAGTTTACTTAAAAATTCAATATCTCGATATAGGAATATTCTTCTCGAGTGAAATTTTCAAGATATTCAAAGAGTCATCAGAACTATTGATGCGCTGAACTTCAGATTGAAAATTCACTAAAACAGTCAAAACAATATAAGCTCAAACGGTGAGTTACAGTTCGGATAGTTAATTCGTAGAATTGTTCTATGAAAACTGAATATTATTCTAGAAGGCAGTATAGTCCATTAATGTTTTTTTGAAAGAAAAATAAAGATATCACACATTCAATTTCTTAATAAACTCATCCAAGAATATTCCAATAAAGCTCTTAACATTTTGCGTACATTATAGAAAAGAAATTTTTGTTATTCGAATTGGAAAAAAACAACCAAATATTTTAAAAGAATAAAAAAAAGCTTACGACACTCGGTATTCCCAGGCGGTCACCCATCCAAGTACTAACCGAGCCCGACGTTGCTTAACTTCAGTGATCGGACGAGAACTGGTGTATTCAACGTGGTATGGCCGTAAGCATTTGTTATAAAGCATTTTTTCGTATGCATTCGGATACATGGCTTCAAATTTAATAAACAAAGAACTATGTATAATTTGTTGATTTGATTTGATCATTTTAAAAGTATTTTCTATGGTTATGAGTATTGTTGAGCATCACTAGATAAATACATATACTTATGACATAACCCTTTGCAACATACGAATAGATAATTTTCATTAAAATTCAAATACACTTTTTCTGACAACTTCATTTCGTATCTCTACTAATCAAGTATACCCATTAAATCGATGGCCATTAATCTGACCTTAAAAATGAAACAGAATTTCTTGATAGATAAAGAATAAAAAAGTAATCAAAGTTATGATAATTACACTTTAATTTCTTTTTTTTTATTTTCAATGAGTCAAACTTACATGATGATCTATTCATTTGAACATAATAAAAAGACAAGATAATTATTAACAAATAAATACAACTTATGCATTCAGTGAAGTGATGCTATTATTTATTTCGAAAATTCTTTCTTTCCCATACATACTAATTTTTCTCTTATCCCTAGTTACATAAAAAAAGTAATTCAATCAATGAAGATATTCAATTAAACAAGGAAAGGAATGTGGTTTTGGATATATTATTCAATAACAACTACTTTTATGGCTTATGTAACAGTAGACACTATACTCGGACATCGTTTCATCCTAAGGCCTTCCTCCCTCAAAAATTAATCTCAGCCCAGGTACAGTCAAATTGCATGAAATTTTCAGAGTATGTTGAGGCTAGTGTGAGGAGGCTATGGTAAAATGTTCAGCTCTGTATCATGACGTTTGAGGAAGATAGTGACCAAACAAGGGTCAAAAATAGCTCATTTGGCAAAACCAGAGCCCTTTTTTTCTAATTCTTACTTTTTAAGCGGAAAAAAAGGATCACAAGTTCAATGAATTAAAAACCTCTCTAAAAATGGCTCTCTATTTATATAAGTGTGTTTGTATATATAGTAAAAACAAAGCTTGATCAAAAAAAAAGGATTCTGGTAAGCAATGCATCTTGACATACTCTTTCAAACAAAAAAAAAAAACTTAAAGACATCACATGGACCTAGACTGAAAAATTTGGGTTGCACGTTCGACATATCATGAACTAAGGAAAAAATGAGATACCAAGTAAAAATTTTTGTTGTTTATAGCAGATCAGATCATGGACTATCTTCCCATGCATTTATCTTAATTTCGACTATTTTGACGAAAAATGACTTTTTTTGCGAAGAAGAGGAGGCCTTAATGAATTTCAAAAACAATTGCTTCTGATTGTAGGATGTAATAATATATATGCAAAACTTAAGAGATTATGTTTTAATATGGAATCAAGTTACAACAGTTCCATTAAGCACCACAAAAGTTATTGTCTATCAAGGAAATCTCTTCAGATATCAAATCATTTTTCGATCGAGACGATGTTCATTTAATGAGTAATAGAAAAGTCTACAATGGTTTGGTTTTCTGGACTTTCGTTCTTGAGATATCGAAATTTTACTGTTTTTTTTTTCAACAAAAAGCTGTAGTCTCTTCAGATCATATGGAAGATTGACTTTCAAGTTTTGGCTTGGAACTTAACAGGAACAGAGTTCTTCATAATATTAGTTGCTTGTGAAAGTTTTAGCTTTTCTAATATTTCCTTTTTTTTCACAGTCAATTCAATCGATAAAAGTTTATCTTTATGTTTAAAACAATTTCAATAAGTCAATATAATCATAGTACGATGTTTCGTATGACATGCAGATCAATTTTTTCATACGTAGGCTAACTGAGGTTAATACAACAAAGTTCTCTTGTTATTTCGTTTATTCTTTTTAAGCTATAAGATTGCTTCAACAATCAAGCAAGAGTAAACACTTTTTTTTTATTCATATTGTCAAATTCAAGTCTTATTTATGTGGATGTCTACAATCAAATTTATTCAAGTAAAATTTTTTCTTTGTTTATGTATGTACAAAAAAAAAGAAAATATAAAAATCATAAGTACACAATTATGAATTAAATTCAATATTTTGATTTTGATTATTTTTCTAATGTTGATAAATTCAATGTTTGATAAGAAGAATTTATTGATGATGATGATCGACCTGACTGTTCTGATAATAAACGTGTAAGTGTTGTTTTATTCGATGATTTAGATGGTTCATCCGTTGTTGATTCAGGTAATGTTTTCATTTGTGTATTTTCTTGTTTTTGTTTATTTTTAATATTATTGAAATTTTCTATTTTATTTTTTGTTTTACTTAAATAAATTTGACTATGATTTAATGTGAATTCTTTGAATTCTGTAAAATTCAATCGAAAAAATTCATATATATTTGTAAGTAGTTGACGATATAATGTAAATACACGACGATTACATACATAAACACCAAATATAAATAAACCAGGTGTAGCATTAAGTAAAATAAATAAATATTTAACTGATGCAACAAGAAAACGTTTAAAACCTTTTTGATTATCAGGTAAAAGAAATAAAATAAAACCAATTGTCCAACCAAAACCAGCTAATACAGCCATACGCATATAGATTTTAACATCATGTTCACCAGGTACAACTTGTTTTTTACGTTGAAATTTACGTTCAACTTGAACTCGAACTAGGGGAAACTAATAATTAAAAAAAAAGCAAAAATAAAATTTTACCGTTTTTCAAACCTCGTCGAATACTTCGAACAGTCAAAGCATATAAAATAAAATTTATAATCAGAATAATTGCTACTGGACAACCGAATAATACAAATCGCATTAAGGCAGATTCAATCCAACAACCTATACAGATAAATATATTAGCAAACAGTCTTTTTTTTTTTGTATCATTCATATACAACATATCATAAAGATGTGTCATTGACATTCATTCATTATCTGTCGTTATACAAATAAATGAAAACTAATTTACTATAGTTCTATATTAGACTTAATGACGAGCTTAATGAACTTAGTTTAGTAGGTCAACGGAAAATTATTTGATATATAAATGCAATATTGTTTCTTTTTTATTATTTTCTGCTCTAAGTAAATTACAGATCAATTTGATAAATATCCACCACTACTCTTAGTAATGAAACTACTAAAGTACGTAAATATATATTTGAAAATCAAGTGATTACCTTGTAATGGTGTATCATTTTTTGTTCGAAAACAAACATCATAACATCCACGAAAAAATCTTCCATAACATGGTTTTAATCGAGCATTTTTTGCATCTAATATAATACCAATTAAAACAATAATGACGGGCATACCCCATGCATATAAAGCATAGAATGGTAAACGTTCACGAATTTCATAAATATAAAGTGAAAAACCTTTATGAAATGTTTTCCAAAGATCAAAAGCCATAACATTCATCCAAAAAAAACTTGCCAAATAAAAAAAATGTATTCCTAATGCAAATAATAAACAAACACTAGGTGTTGTCATTATTGTTAAACTTTGAGATAAAAATAAAATTTCTCCTATCATTAAAGCAATAATTAAATTAATTGTATTACATCCAGGTAAATTACGTAATGAAGAAAATAATGTAAATGTAATTAAACTTATAGCTAAAGCAAATATCGAAAGAAATGTTGCTATAGTTGATAAAATTCCAGGTGCTTTTTCAACAAAACCTAATTTTTTTCCACTAGTTGTACCATTATATGTATCATGTTTACATACAACAATATATAAATCAGGTCGAAAATAATCATAACGATATTCACGATTTGTATATAAACGTTTAGTACGTCGATTTTGTATTGAAAAATTTTTATATTGGTCTACTTCACAAAGCGCTATACGCATAACAAGACTATCTGGACAACGGCCAACTATTCGAGGTTGACGATTACATACAGATACTAATTTCATTACTGGAGTTGAATTTGACGCCGGAGATTTCGTATCGACATGTCGCTAAATTATAAAATGAAATATAATATCATCTTTCGACTATCATTACTAATGTCGGTTTTAAAAAGCAATAGATTTAACTGTTCTTTGAATAGCTTTTGTTAGGAATAACATAGAGACGTCAGGTTTTCGTCATTCAAGAGAGAAGGTCCTGGACCATTTACGTATGCTAAAATTTGATTGACTAACAACTGAACGATCGACTGAGTTCTCTACGGAGATTTTGAAAAAAAAAAAGATATTCTGAAGCCATTCTCCATTGGGCTCGATTGTAGAATATGACTAATCGATAGGAAAAATTCTTCTTTTTCGATCTACACAAGCCCCAATTTTATAATAAAATTGCAAGAGATTTTCCGACACCCTCTATTTCAG